CCATTACCATAATCATTATCATTATTATTTGTAGTAGTAGTAGCAAAATTCTACCTGGAGGTGTAACAGTGTTAACTGTGCTAAGTGGATTCACACACTCACAACAGCCATTCTCTGGTTGGTGTAGTACAAGTCCTTGCTAAAATGAAAGAAAATAATGAGTTATTAGCAGTAGTTCTTCATATGACTGTTGTGCAATATGGCACAGAATAGACAAGTGATGTTGGTAGTCTATGAGTAAGATACTTACCTGGACAAACCAACTAAATGGCATTGTTCCTTTACGAACACCCTTACAACTAAAACAGTCTGATTTTCCCAGCACGTGCCTGCGCCCACACCCAAGGGTCGTCCACAAGCCATGATCATGGAGAGGAGAGGATGGGATAGTGTTTGCCCAGCTAAGTATCTCAACCACTGAGTATTACACATCACTTCTGATTTGTGTGGTCTATTTCATGAATGCTTACCTGGATAGACCGACTAATTCCCAGAGTAGCACTAAAAAGTCGGAGGAGGGCGTGATCAAAAGAAACTCAAAATGGATAAACACACTCACCTAAAGTGTTGGTTTCAAAACCACTGAAGCCACCAGTTGGTGGAAATGGCAGTTTCCTCTGGGGCCAAAACCCTCCGCATGCCAGTCAAACTTAAAGGACAACTTTACCAATTTTACATAATTTGAGGACTGATTGAGCATACTCAGTTATTTAATTTTGTAATTGTTTATTTTCATGTCATCACTAACATACCATTTTATTAAATTTACTTATATCATGTTTAATTTAATTATTGTCTATATATATGTATGTTAAAAAAAATCCTAAGACAGGACTAACAGGCCTGAGAGCCGGAGTATTTTTCACACTTTAGTTAATCCTAGCCAACTTAGGTTAGATATGGTCTAAAGTATTTGTTAGGTTTCCTTCAATTGTATTGTATCCACTTGTTTATGTTATTGGCTGAATAAAGAATGAATGAATGAATAGGCCACTTTGAAATTACAAATCTTGTGTGTGTATGTTACGTAGACGCCCTAAACAAAATTTGTGATGACGTGCTACTGTAGGTGCATTGCTCAATCTAAGCTTAGTGACAAGGCCACTGTAGTGCATATTATTGGGACGATTTTAGACAAGTTTTTGCATTATTACTATCCTTGTATTCATATAAAATAAAATTGAATGGCAAAGGTACTGTAGGTAAAGAAGTAATTGTAGATCTAGATGAAGAAGACACTGAATGTTGGAGAGTGAAGAGAAAAATATTTGCATATGGCTGTACAACTTGGTTTAGCCTTCAGTCTGTAGATTGAACGATTACACCTAGGCTAGGCTAGTTTTAAAAACTCTACAGTAAACCTAGCTAATATAATCCAAGCATTGAATCTCTTCAAGCAACTCCATCCAAAGTGGGTGTGGTCGTCACTTATTAACCAACTACAAAGGAGTGAGGACAACGCTTGGGCAAGGGCGCAGTCAAGTGCTGGGACAATCGGATGGCTCTATTTTTGTCGTAGGGGTGTTCTTAAAGGAACAATGGCAATTAGTTGGTTTATCCAGGTAAGTATTCACAAAATAGACAAATTTATTCATGCATGTTTCGTGTCAAGAAAGTTTTATAAATAATTAAGTATTTACGTTGGTGCAAGATTCAGGTGCAACATTACAACTGAAGTGACATTCAATCTCTGCGCTTCCATCCATATCGACACATTCGCATACTTCACATCCGTTGCGGTCAAATGTACCTCCCAACTGCAAAAAAAATCATACACAGGGTCACTCATTGCAGTACTTACAGTAGTAGTATTATGTCATTTTTAGTTTTTTGATGCTGGTACAAAAATAAATATCAATATATTAAATAGCACACATCACAAAAACACTATTCTAGCTACATTAAATCTACTAATACAACATAAATTAAGATAATGTATGTTGTATCAGTACATGTAACTAACTATTACAACATACATTATCTTAATTTCGTCTTATTAAAATCAATAATTGCCTGCACTAAAAAATTAGCATACATTCCCATATTACCTGTCAGCTCAGAATTTAAATTTATTATGATTATTGCATACATAAAGTATTTGAATTTTAAAATAATAATTTTTCTATAACGTTTTGAAATAATCTAATTTGATATGTGTACATTTTTACAAGATTGTTATGAACAGGCCTTTATCATCTCTAATATAATTTTTTTCATGATAGCGTTTATGTAAACCCCACAGGCTTGCACTCTACGATTGACATGTGGTAGTTTTAAACATTCCATTTTAAAAATATAAATTTAAATGCAGAGAACCAAAGTTGTTAAGGAAAGCAAATAAACATTTTGAATAAAATGACCTGGGATCAAAACAATGATTATGAAAATAATGTGGATTTTATCTTATTTATAAATAAATTTACATTATTGTAGTAAAGTATTGTTCAAATTTATATATATACACATGCACTCCGAATACATGCCCAAAGTAGAATAGATATGATAGCAAGTGTAGTCTTGTTTTTTTGAGATTTTCACTTACATTCAAAACCAAATCTTCGTTAACAATACAGCGATTTCCACAGCTTAAACGTTCACGTCTTACACACAGTCCAGTATCCCCATAATTATATGGTCGGAATAGATCAAGGAAGCCACTGTTGCTTCTGACATCCCGTTCATAGCCAGCTGGACAGGAACATTGATGATTCGTAAATAGAGGATTGCAAAGAGCGTTGTTGACATCCGTAAGTAAAAGTGACCATGGCGCACCCACTGTCATTGCCGAAAGCTGGGAACAAGTTACCACATAGTTGCAAGATTCATCGCAAGCTGCAAAAAATGTGTATATAACATAGAATTACCATAACATGGTTTATAGTTTATCTCTATTTTATCATGAATTATTTATAAAAAAGTATATCTGGAAGATCCTGTGTTGTCAAATGCTAAGAAGAGGGCATATAATATTGACCTCTGCTATTTGCCATGCATCAAGAACTAGTGCTGTCCAACAATGCATGAAAAGGAGAGTGAGGCATTAGTTATTTTAAACGGATTTGACCTTAAGGCATCTGCATAGGCAGCAGAAGGTCCCGCATGTGGATCCTGGTCAGGTCAACCTTTTTTGTTCACACTTACAGATTTCTCTTTAATGTTACATATATATATATATATATATATATATAT